TTATTCTTTTAATAATTAAAATTTCTTTTGTTTGTTCTTATATATTCTGCGCCTTTTAATCCGGAAATTTCACTTGTCGAAAAATTTATATGAATATTTCCTTCGGGATTTTTAATGGTAATTTCTTCTTCTTGTTCCATTACTTGGTTATTTAATAGTTTTGTTAATTCCGTTCCCAGAGTTTCTATTGTTGCTAATACTATTTTTTCTTTTGATGATTCTGCTATTCTTTTTGCTCCACTATTAAATCCTTTTGCTACTATTATTCCATAATCATGTTTATTATTCATACATCCTATTAGTTGTCGGATTATTGGTGATCCGATTTCTGCTTCGTGATTTTTACATTGTACTAAAATATTTTTTTCTTTATATCTTGCGATCATGTCTTTTCCTCCATCCCCCGTCGATATGTACCTTTGCGTATTTCTATTATAATATCCATCACATGTTCTCGTTACGTCTAATCCATAGTTTTTTAAAAATTCGTATGTTCTTATTTCTAACTCTTGTCCTTTAATTCGTTTATTCGATGACGCCGTTGTTTCTTGTGACCGATATCTTAGTGTTCCTGTTGGGGTTTCTCTGTAATTTTTTCTGTAGGGCACCATTTGAACTGATTTTTTTTGACCTTGTTAATTTTCTTGTCTTTTGTCTTTTTATAAGATTTGTTTTGTTGATTTTATTGATACCATTAGAACAGTTCTTGTTTATGTCATTTGATCCTTTAGAACAGGTTCTAACAGTTCTTGTTTATGTCATTCGATCCTTTAGAACAGGTTCTGGCACCTTTGTTTATGTCATTTGTTCCTTTAGAACTGCGTCTTGTGCCATTTGTTCATTTCTAACGATCCTTGTTTATGTCATTTGATCCTTTAGAACAGGTTCTAACAGTCCTTGTTTATGTCATTTGATCCTTTAGAACAGGTTCTGGCACCTTTGTTTATGTCATTTGTTCCTTTAGAACTGCGTCTTATGTCACATGTTCATTGTAACAGGTTCTACTGCGCCTTGCGTCATTCTTGGCTTTGTTGATCATTTTACCGTATCTTAATTCTTCACGCTATCGTGGTCAACTTGGAATTTTTTTCTTTTCTTTTTTTCTCCTTTTTCCTTATTATATTTCTTGTCATTTATCCATCGATGTTGCCTCATTTACTTTTTGAATTTTTTCTTTCCCCATCGTCTCTTTCTTACCAACCGATTTCTTTCGTTTAATCGTTTATGATTTATTATTTGTTACTAATTTGATAAATCTAATCACTGGACCATATTTATATTTAAGATTTTCTAAATTTCTCTATAGAGGTTCTGCACTGTATAAAACTTTAAATATGTGTAGAAGTTTAGACATTTGGCATAAACTCTGTAAAAATATCTTTAAGTTGCTGCGCGCAAAATTATTTTCTTTTTAAAAAAAATAATAATAACCGATAAAAACATATACAATCTCTTGTATTTTCTTAGTAAAAAAAAAAATAAAATCTCATTAAGCATTGATATATGAATTAAATCATTGCAATTTTTTTTATGGTGTTTTTGTACAACAAATATCCCGTACATGTATTAGATCTTTATTCTATTTATAAATGGTTGCGCGCTTGAAAAATAAGTATGAAGAGGAGCCTGCGAAGTATTCATTAAAAAAGAATCAAACAAGGTATCACAAGTATATGCGAAAAAAAAAACTTTTCAAACTTATTAAATATTTTTGAATAAAATCTTCTTCATGACATATGTCCGTTGAAAATTTTTCCAGACTATCATTAAACGCTTAATATTTTTATTATAGATAAAAAGGTAGCAAAAGTATGCTCCATATATGCCTCTTTGAAGTTTTTATTACTTTATATTCATAATTAATTATTATTATTATCAAATTAATATTTTTATTTTATTTTTTAGTTTGAGAGTTCAGACATAAACTACAATGTAAAGTTAAATTTTGTACATTTAATTGTCCTTTTTTTTTTAGTAATAAATTAACAATTGTTACAGGTTAGATTCTTTTTTAATGCTGACTGATAGATATGCATGAAAAAAAAAGATATTTCAATAGTGTACCCGAATATTTTGGTCTTTGCAATCAAAACAAAGCATAATTCTCATTTTTTGTAAAAAAAAATAATATAGCCGATAGCAGAATCTTTACATTTTCCCAACCAATCAAAGGTACCAAAGCATATTCCTTCTCATTTCTTTTCTTATACATTTTATTACTAACTTTTTTTTCGTTATTCTATTTAACGAGAAAAACAAGTACAAGGACTGAATGATTTTTTTTTTTTTTTGGCTTTACCCCACGCGATATCATTTTCGTAACACTAATGCACGATCTTCATTTTGTCTGTTCTTCGTATAATATTTTAATTATTTAGTGAATCCAGTTATTTTACTTTGTGCTATCTTATTTCTCCTTTCCTTTTTTTTTGAATAGGATTAATTATATAAATAAAAATAAGAATAAAAAAAAAAACGAGGGTATGATTTCATGTTTTTCTTGATAAATTCAAATTACTAAAGTTCACAATGGATTAATGAAGGAAACAGATGGATAAATATACATCTTTTTTTCTAAAAAAAAAAAAAAAAGAATTAAAATTTAATTTTTAAAGGTTTTAAAAAATAAATAGACTGAAATCATTTATATCAGCTATTTCAATCAGTAATAAAGTATGTATTCAGAGAATTATTTATGAGTAATATAAAGATTTGAAAGAACATTATAATTCGAGATTTATTAATATTGTTTATGTATATTTAATTTAAATTATGACATTTTCTTTCAAATAATAAATTGAATAAATATTTTCCACTAGTAACCCCACGTTATATCTTACTTGCATGAAGTTACACGAATTTCATCATCAATCATATAACGTTCAATTTTAATTCTTTCTTTTCAAAAAATATTATTATGGCTCTCTGACCAATGGGAGACCTTTAATTATGATATTGGCAACAACAATTCTAATAATGTGATAAACGAAAGGACCACAAAATTAATTGGAATTCATATCCAATTAACCTAAGGTAGTTATCAATGAAGTAAAATGAAAAATCTAAATATTTGAAACTTAAATAATTCGTTTTTCTCAAGTAATGTTTACATTATATGTACATACATATTCTTTTTCGTTTAAGTTATCAATCATTCGTGAATCATTAATTTCCGTAAAGATGCATTTACATCCATAGTCATTTCTCTTAATGGCAAATTTGCTTGTTTAAAGATATGGAGAGGATAATATTATGAAATTTCTATTTGCATAACGACATATGATTTGGCCGAAAAAAGAACTTTACATATAATGTCACATAATGTAATAATTGTACTTTTATAAATTTACATCCCGACTTAATTTTGAAGTGAGTTAGATTTGTATGGTAAAAATTTAAATCATAATTTAATTGTTACTTTGTAATTGTTTCACTAAACATGGAAAGATCTAAAAATTACATGAGTGTTGTTACACTAGAATTTACGAAATAAATTATCATAAATTTAAAAACATAAGACAAAGTATAAATAAAGGAATAAAGATACCAATTAACCATTATTTATTTATTTATTTTTCAATTATAAGAGAGAGAAAGACAAAAGACCCTTTCTCTTTTCCTATACATTCATTTTGCCATTCATTTTGTCATACTATTCTTAATAGTAATTTTAATTTTGGGTGAAAATGTAGAAGCTGTGTGGAAATGGTCTGCAAAATGTCCTAATAATCTTTGTTGTTCGCAATGGGCTTGGTGTGGATCAGCTTCTGCCTATTGTGGAGCAGGATGTCAACCTCTTTATGGGAAGTGCGCCACTTCTGCGGTTACTTCTTCCAAGGTCCCTACTTCTCTCAAGATTACTACTTCTACTACCACTAAACGTTCCTGCACCTAAATCAAATGGAAAAGTAATTTATTCATGTTCAGTACCTGGTACTATAGCAATCACCTATTTACTTGTATATAAATTATTTCTATATTCTATTTTATCACGAAGATAATTAATTAAAATAATAACTTGAATTAATTGAATTCCTTTTTTTTTTTTAAAAAAAAAAAAAATAATGGACTAATGATTTACTCGATAACCTAAAAAATTTAAATGCCAAAGCGACATTTTTCATTAATGGCAAGAATTGGGGTTGTATTTACGATTACGCCCCCGTTTTAAAACGAATAGTAGCCGAATGTCATCAGCTCGCATATCATACTTGGGGACATTTAGATCTCGTCACTTTAACGTATGAACAAATCATCTCTCAAATGACAAACCTTGAAAAATGCTTTCTTGAAAATTGTGGGAGTTGCCCTCGATATATGTCATAATCCTTTAGTTATGGATACTTTAACAAGTCTTGGATATAATGTAGTCCAATGGCATCTTGATTCAGAAGATTGGCGAGGTTTGAGCACGCAAGAAGAAAACTGTAATACCTAGCACAAGGATGGAACTTGGAGATTTTAAAATATTAGATTAGATAATTAGAAGTAATTTAATTTATTTATCGATTTTATTTAGAAGTAATTTAATTTATTTATCAATTATATTTGGAAATCACATTTAATAAGATCATATTTTCTCTTTACATATTCAAGTTGTATTTATTTTGTCCAAATAGTGAAAATCAATAATGTTTCACAAATATAAATAATAAAATATACTAACTAGAAGAAAAAAAATATAAAAATCGGGACGATTATTCCGAGCAGTTAAGTACAAGTGTATGATTGTATGCCAAATTTGCTAAATTTAATTTAGGTGTTTTCTAAGCCATGCTAAGCCACGGATTAAAAAGTAATATTTTCATTATCTGGAGCACGCAAAATTGTGTTGTACAATACATCTTAATGGCGTAATCAAAATGTCATTGTACAATAAATTATCGATTACATTTTATAAAAACTCGTAAAAAAATACTTTTTCCTGAAAAAATAAATTCTTATTAATTTCACGAATTTATTTAAATAACCAAAATGACCGATATATCAGACTATGATAGCGCTCCTGAATCTTTTTTTGATGCAGAAGAATATGTAGCTGATGAAGAAAATCAAAAAACCACCACTCGATATTCGAAAGTTTTATTATCTTCTATATCCAACATTTTTTCTTCCAATAGTGTTCGACCCGAGATTTCTGCAATTCCAGAGATTTCTATAACCGACATGTCAGAAAGTAAAGAAGGAAATGAGGATAAATCCAGGGAAATTATTTTAAACGGTTCCGAATCTAAGATAAATATAGATATAAACATCAAGACTGAAGGTATTTGTCGATGTTTTTAATGATAATTCTCGTGATATTATAATCTTATATAATTATATTTGCTATATCATTCTTTATATTGTTTTTACAAATTAAGTTGAGGAAGAAAATATCAATGAAGAAAAAAAAGAAGAAAAAGAAGAAGAAAAAGAAGAGGAAGAAAAAGAAGAAGAAAAAGAAGAGGAAGAAAAAGAAGAAGAAATTGACATAACAATTTATGTCAAAGATCTTGATACTGGTAAAAATGTCCCGGCATCAGATCTGGAAGAGGAAATTAAAAAATCTAGAGGAAGCATCAATCCATTATCTTTACAAATATTGCAAAGATCTGGTGGTGAAGATGATGATCTTGAAAGTGATGATGAAAGGAAATCTGATAAATCACATAGGTAAATAAGAAAAAATTTTCATAATTTCCACCATATATTTTCATAAGATCATTATTTTTTATAACGATCGATATTTCATTTTAATATCACGCAAATCCTTTAGATCAAAATCTTTTCTAAAACGTTTGAAAAAAAAATCACATCATGAGAAAGGAACTGAAGATGATGAAGAAGAAGGTAATGGGATTACTGGAAATAATGTACCAGTATTTTCAGAAAGTACTTGCGATTACGGAAATGCTCAACCGACTTATATAAAAGTAAATATTATCGACAAAAAAAATATTATTATTATTATTATTATTTTTTTTTTTTTTAGATTTATAATCAAAAAATATTTACAAAGATAATTTTTGATATCATTTATATCATTTAGGGACGTTCGAGAAATAAACCAGTTAAAGAATTTGATAAAGTTTTTCTTGCTCAAGAATTAAATAATCCAATTTCGGATGAAAATAATGAGGCGAATTTAAATTCTGGTGCAATTTGGACCATGGAATTTAGTAAGGATGGAAAATTTTTGGCAACGGGAGGTCAAGATAAAATTGTTAGAGTGTGGGCCGTGATTTCAAGTGATGAAGAACGTGAACACTTTCTTGAAGGAAGTGATGGTACAAGTGTGTATGAAGGTATTAGTGGAGCAAAGTTGAGAGCACCTGTATTTCGAGGTAAACCATTATATGAATATCGTGGACATACAGCTGATGTACTGGATTTAAGTTGGAGTAAGGTAGTTATAAAATATATATCATATGATACTTTCATATATCGGATAGTTTTGTAAAAGAACAATTCTCAATTATTTTTTAGAACAATTTTTTACTTTCTTCGTCTATGGATAAAACTGTGAGGTATAATTTTCTGAAATTATATTCAATCATGTTCTAATTTTTCTAATTTTTAAAATCCTGAATTCTAAATTATTCATATCGTTCTTTAGATTATGGCATATTACAAGGAAAGAATGTTTATGCTGTTTTCAACACACAGATTTTGTGACAGCAATTGCTTTTCATCCAAAGGTATTAAAGGATTTAATTATTTTCCGTCGTTTTCACGGCTTTATAATAATTTTTTTTTTTTTTTTAAAAAAAAAATATAATATATTATTTGTGTATTGTGTGTGTGAAATAAATAGGATGACCGTTTCTTTCTATCCGGTTCATTGGATTGCAAATTGCGTCTCTGGAATATACCAGCGAAAAAGGTATCACATTGGAATGAAATTCCAGATCAACAATTGATAACTGCCGTGGGTTTTACTTTTGATGGTAAAATGGCAGTTGCGGGAAGTTTTTCTGGATTATGTTTATTTTATGAAACAGTAGGTTTAAAATATAACACACAAATTCATGTTCGAAGTACACGAGGTCGAAATTCAACTGGCAAAAAGATAACAGGTATTGAGGCTATGCCGGGAACTGTTCCTGGTCAAGATAAAGTAAGGAATTTAATAATTTTAATTTAATAATATTTACTTTAATAATATTTATTTAATAACATTTAATTTGCGAATATTTTAAATAGTTGTTGATTAGTTCAAATGATTCAAGGATTCGATTATATAATATGCGTGATAAATCCTTGGAATTTAAATACAAAGGACATGAAAATACCTGTAGTCAAATTCGGGCCACATTTAGGTGGGTCGATGAATAATCTTTCTTAAGTAATTTAAATAAATTTTAAATCAATAAATTAATTTAAAATTTTTTTTTTCTCATAAATTAGTGATGATGGACGTTATATAATAACTGGATCAGAAGATAGACATGTATATATATTTAATACTGATAAATCTATAAATCCTCATGAGGGATCACATTGGCTGAAAAAGGATAAGATTTGTTACGAAAGTTTTGAAGGTAAATTTTTACAATATTAATTTATTTATTAATTTATTTATTAATTTATTTATTTATTTATTAATTTATTTATTAATTTATTATTAATTTATTTATTTATTTATTAATTTATTTATTAATTTATTTATTTATTAATTTAATTTTGATTGTAGCACATGAAGCTATTGTAACAGTTGCAATCTTTGCCCCAACACGAACAAAACAATTAATTGGTCTTTGTGGTGATCCAATCTTTACGAAAACAATTAATTCGGAGAAACAAACATATCCTGATGGAAACATAATTGTTAGTGCGGATTACACCGGAAGAATAAGAGTATTTCGACAAGATTGTGCGTACTATAGTTTTGGTGATGTTGATTCTCGTTCAATCCGAAGCACGAGGTATTTACAATTATTTGCAATTATTGTTTAAAATAAAAAATTACATTAATATTGAGTAAAATCATATTGCTAATAATTAGTTATTATTATTATTATTATTAAAAATTCAGATCATTTAATTCAGTGTTAGGAAATAATTTAAACAGTTTGTTTGTTAGACAAAAACAAAAGAAGAATGGAGAAACCAGACCAAGAAGAAAAAGTGATGCATCAAGTATATTGTCATTTGCATCAAGCATATTAAGTACAGATGTACCCATAGATGGATCTACAAATGCGGATACTATAACTGAGGATGCTGAGCAATTTCAATGTAATTGTGGGTCAACAGATTTTAAAGCTTATATGTCCCAAGGAAAATCTAAATTAATATGTGCTAATTGTAACAAAGTTGCTTAAATCATTTTAAAATTAGAAATTTATTAAATTGTAAATTATTAACATTAGTTATATATTGTATTATTAATTATCTTATTTGTAAAAAAAAATAAATAAAATATTTCATTCTTCAAATTTATATTCTTTTATATCTCTTTCAACTCTTATATCTCTTTCAACTCTTATATCTCTTTCCTTACTCTTTATATCTCTTTCTTTACTCTTTATATCTCTTTCTTTACTCTTTATATCTCTTTCCTATATCTCTCTTAAATTACCAGAATTACCAGATGATGATGAAATGACAGAAAAATTATCAACACCCCTCAAAGCTTCTTCCATCATCAAGCGATACTCACTTATCAATTCTTGTTCCTTTAATTTAAATTCTTGATCCAATTTATTCTTGGCATTTTCTTGTTCTCTCAAAAATTCCCTACGTTCTTTAACATAAACATCATTATGTCTATTCTTCTTGACGAATATAAAGTTATAAATACGCAATAAATGTATTTAATTTAGAAAATGTTATATTTGTCATTCATAATAATTTATATTAATATTACATTTACCTTTCTTAATTCTGTTAATTCTGCTGATATGTTTTCCAAAATTGGTTTGGATTCTTTCACTATTAAAATTTTTTTTTTATATATGATTATTTTATTTTTTATTTTTGATGATTAAATGTTTTTCCAAATAGAGATAATACTGATATTCCTCTCTTTTTACTCACATTTCTTTGATATACTATCAAGTTTTTTATTTAATAAAGAAATCCCATTTTCATATTTATTTGGTGCATCTTGTGCATAAGCAATACTTTTTTTAAGATTTTCTGTTTCACGACCATTTCTATTTGACTTTGAGAATGAAATAAAGGAACGTGTTCATTTAATAAAAAAGAATTCATTTTTTTTAAAAAAAAAAAAAATCTAGTAAACTAAATTATCATTTTAAGCTTACTTCAAATTCTTGAACAAATAATTTAATCTCCTTATCAACAGATGACTTTGGATGGTTGAAAATTGTGTTATATAAATTACCAATATCTTTTAAAATAATTGAAAATGCAATAAATACAAATAAAAAATTACCAAAATGATAAAGAATTAAATGTAAATAAACTTGCCTTGTGCAATTGTTTTTGAATCTTGTTTGAACATTTTAATTTTCTTATTTTTAAACCTGACCTGATCTAACTTGGTTAAAAATATTATTTAGGATTCGTGTAACTATTCTAAATTAAGTCACGTCACAAGATAAAAGCAAAATAAGATAATTTATTACAGTGAGAGATCAACAAGACCATTTACGCATAGGAAAAATACTGTTTTCCGTTAATCTTCATTATCTAAATGACTGTTTCTAAAGGAAACTCTTTTAAACCCACTTTTGGTCATTTTCCTGATGTTCCACACCCGCCACAATCGCTCAATAAAAACAATTGATGATGACAATTTTATAACATTGTATTGGGAAAATTGTTTGTGGGTTTGTGGTGGAATTTCGCAGGGAAATTCATTCGAAGTTTCTGAACGACAATGTGTCTTTGATTAATATAATATTATTGTTAGCCTCTCTATCTTTAATTAAGCAAGGCATTTGATTCATAATCATATGCACATTATTTTATTTTTATTGAAATGAAATCTTACAAATATTATTACTCGTTGATCTTTTCGATCATTCATTATTATAATTATTATAAATAATAAATTCAAGTGATTTTTTTGATGTGGCAAAGAACTTAATAATATCAAAAGCCACTGGGGGGCTCAAACAAGGTAGCCCAATGAATGCTTAAATTGATGACATGGTGCAAGGGTCTAGATTTAAAATGATTTTCATTATTTCAACAAAAAAAAAAAATTTAATTAAAATATATCGAAAAACACTTTTTTTTTAAAAAAAAAAATATGGAATTTTTTCAAAACTTATCAAACGATTTTGACCAACTTTTGGATGAAAGTGATGATTATGATGTAATAATTTATGCGGGTAAAGAACCCAACATTAAAAAATTTTACGCGCACACCGTAATTTTACGAGCGAGGTCGCCTTATTTTCGAAGAGCATTATCTCGAGAATGGGCGAAAAAAGAAAATGGGTCAATAGTTTTTCAAAAACCAAATATTACTAAAGAAGTATTTAGTATAATTCTTAAGTAAGTTATTTGTTTTATTTTGTATTTCGGAATCGGTATTCTGAAATTTCTTCCTTTTTTTTTTATGAATTAGATTTATTAATTTTATTAGAATATAATAATATATTAAAATTATTTTTATATTTTTAAATTTATTACAAATATAATAATATATCAAATATTTTACAACAATATATTTTTTAGATACATATATACTGGTACAACGGATTTACATTCACTAAATGGAGAGATTATTCTTAATCTCTTGACAGCATCAGATGAATTAAATTTACAAGAACTTATCGCTTATGCTCAAGAACATCTTATTCAAAAAAAATCAGATTGGTTACAAGAAAATTTAATTCAAGTTTTACAGATGGTAGCAAATCTTGAAGCATGTAAGGAACTTCAAGATTTTTGTTTGGGAATGATTTGTCAAGATCCTTATTGGTTATTTGATTCAGAAGAAGTTTATTATTCATTAGAAGAATCAATTCTTGTACCACTTTTAAAACGAGATCATCTTATAATGGAAGAAATAGAAATTTGGGATCGTATGATTAAATGGGGAATCGCACAAAATACACAACAATTAGAAAAAGATGTTGACGAATGGTCTGAAACGGATTTTGAAATATTAAAATGTACACTTGAACCATTAATTCCTTTAATTCGATATTTTAATATAGATTCAGTTGATTATTATGATAAAATGAGACCATATGAAAAGATTTTACCACCAGAATTACGAGAAGATATTTTACAATATTATCTTAAAAAAGGTAATATTGGACAAATCAATTCAATTATTTTACCACCTAGAATGATGGGAATTGAATCAAATATTTTAAAATATCGACATATTGTTATAATATCAAAATGGATTGATCGTAAAGAATTAAATAATAATAATAATAATAATAATAATAATAATAATAATAATAATAATAATAATAATTGTAATAATATTAATAATCATATTAATAATCTTATCAATAATAATATTAATAATATTATTGATTCTAATATTAATTCTAATATTAACAATGATAATAATAGTAATGATAATAATATTAATGATAATAATAATAATAATGTTAATAATAATAATCGTAGTAATAATGTTAATAATAATAATAATTATCGTCCAAGAATTATGGAAAGATCTAAATATGATTTTACATTACTTTTACGTGGTAGTAGAGATGGTTTTACTTCCCAAGAATTTCATAGATTATGTGATAATCAAGGACCTACTATAGTAGTTATGAAAGTGAAAGAAACGGGAGAAATTATAGGAGGATATAATCCTACATGTTGGCGTAGTAGATTTATTTCACATCCTGGTCGATGGATGTCAGTAGCGTCACAACAAATAGCTACAGTTAGTAATATTGGTGGGAGTGGTAGTAATAGTAATAATTCTACACCGAATCAACTGAGATCATCAGCATTTGCGGGATTTCCTAGATTAGGAATGGAAAGTGGACCATATCAAAATAGTCTTGATAGTTTTTTATTTTCATTTGGGGAAGGAAGAAATTTAGGATCCGCCAAAATTAGTCGTATTTGTCCAGAAAAATCATCATTTGCGGTATTTTCATCACCCCAACATGGTCCATGTTTCGGACAAACGGATTTAAGAATGAATGATAATTTTAATGTATCAGCCAAATGTACTTCTCAATGTTTTTCATATGAAACAGAAATTTGTGAACTTCCAAGTTTTTCGGTTGAAGAATATGAAGTATTTCAAGTTATTAATAAAGATGCACCACTTGCTGCTTTACAATCAAATTCGAATCCGGAATTTTTTCCACCTTTGAGACCTGAAATTACTAATTATCCTACTGCTTGGTAAGAATTATTAATATTAATGTTTTATGTACTCTGATTAATTAATTATTATTAAAAATTTATTTATTAAAATTTTATTTATTAAAATTTATTATTTTTTTTTAATATCTTTAATATATCATTTTTAGGGGAGAATTTATACATTTTAACGTTTAAAGATAAAAGAAGAGATTTCATATATTTCATTAGTTTATACATATTTTTTTTTTTCTCTTTTTTTAAAAAAATTAAAAAAAATTTTATAAATTATATTTTGATTATATTTTTATTAAATTTAAATAACATTTATATTAAAGGTTAAAGGTTCATTATTTTGTTTACCTTAAGGAGATGTAAAACACTGACAAATAAAATTAATATATCATTATATTGTATAAATGTAATATATAAAAAAAATATAATAATAAATTATATATATTTACTCTATTTAAATTTTGATTGTGCACGTGCTAATATCCAAAATAATATAATTATTCTAATTATTTATTATTATATTATTATTATTATTATTATTATTATTATTATTATTATTATTATTAAAAAATTATGTTAATAAAAATCTAATTATTGATTAATTAATAAAAATCTAATTATTATAAAAATTATTGTAATTAATATTATAGATAATTAAACTATAATTAACGGTATATGTAATAGCATTTAATATTAATATTATATTGATTCATGATTATTATTATGATTATTATCATTACTATTATTGTTATTATCAATTAATTTTAATTCTTGACATCTAATCTTGTCAAAAGCATTTAAAAAAATTCCTTCTTTCATTTTCCAATGTATAACTCTTAAATTCCAATTCTCTAATACATCAACTAAAATACATCCTCCATATTCATCGGTAATTGATTGAGTTCCTTGTTTCCTCATATTTAATTTACCCGCTTTCACTTTAAATAATTTAAATAATTTTTTATTCATACATAACACAAAATTTATTTCACTTGATTCATGAATTATTGGATTATTATTAAATTGTAGAAGAATATGTGTGGGTTTATATGAAATTGTTTTAACATAAAATCCGAGATTGACAGCATTTTTCCAACCAATCTATAAAAATATAATTATATTTATTATATCTATATATCTATATCTATAATATATTTATTGAATAAAAATTTAAAAATAATTTAAATATATTTACCCATAAAGACCACTCCGAACGATACTTGATAATTTCGTCTTTAACAACTACCGGAATTAGACCATTCCATAATTTACATGTTCTTTGTAATTTCTTCATATGTTTGATGCTTTAATAATTTTTTATTTTAAAAACAATCGATCAAATAAATTAATAATGAATAACGATAAATAAATTAGACATTAGATTACATAATCAATGACTTTAATTATTAACATACCTGGAAATTTTGAATAATTCTTGAAGAACTTTAAGAACAAGTTCATTGGGAAAGTTACTGGACATATTAATATTTTATTAATATATTATAATTATTATTATTATTGTTGTTGTCGTTATTATTGTTATTATTGTTATTATATTATATTATTATTATCGTATTATTATTATTATACACGAAAGAAAGATTTATAATAATGAATAGAATTAATTAATTAATCTAATAAAAAATTTCAGAAAATAAAATTCGAAAATAAGTGAAAACAATAATAAAAATTCAATTTTGTTTTGAAAAAAAAAAAATGGTTTTCAGGTTTCAAATTGTCGATCTATAAACCAAAGATAAATATATTGATATAAATTAGTATTCTTTGAGCTTTTATTGTATCACTGGAAGTCAAGAAAATTCTTTATGAATCTTTAATGAATCCTTTATGAATGATCAATACTAAAATTGATTATAATTCAACCAAAATTGATCATAGTCAACGAGATTTCTTGCGATTTCTTGCGATTTCTTGCGATTTCTTACATTGCATGCATGCTTACTTACATCATAAATAAAATGAATGGTAATTTGTAGATAAAAAAGGTAATAAATATTATAAAGGTGAATGAATTTTAAATTTATAAATAAAATAAATAAAATAATAATCATCAATTGACAATTTCCTTTCTCCTTGAAATTTGACATAAAATCTAATATAAATTTGTCATAGATTTGGATGCAATTATTTAGTGCTATCTTTCTTTAGGTTATAAAAATGATTATTTTTCAGTTTTCGTAATAAAAAAGATACATATTTTATTTCTTTTATTTTTCGTTTATTCTTTCTTTTTTAGTGAAAATGATAGAACTTAATTAAAAATAATTTGACATAAAATCTTATTATTATTATTTCTATACTAATATGTATATTAAAATAAAAGGTGACATATAATTTCAGCTTTAATATTCCAAGAAATAAACATTACTACATCTTTTTTGGTTACCAGGAATTTTAAACAACTATTATATTTAAAATTATAATCATAATCTTTTCCCGTTTCTTTTAAATCGATTTTAAAAATATAACAACTCTCAAATTTGGTTTCCATAAATTTTAAATATACGTTAATATTGGATTTATTATTAAAATCAATTAATCCTATTTTACTAATATCAAAACATAACATTCTATCTTGTTGATTGTAAGTAGGAATTCCTAAAGCGAAGGTTTGCTCTTTAAAAATTGTGGGTGATTCATGATAATAAATCTGTAAAAATTTTTAATATTTTTAATATTTTTTACATATATATTAAATATTATATTTTTATTATTATTTAAAATAATTTTTAATGGTTTATTTTATATATTAAATAATTAAAATAACATAATAATAATAATAATAATAAATACCACAAAGTTCCAACTATGTCGATAATTTCGAAATATTTCATCTTCAATAACAGTCGGTATCAACATATTCCATCTTTTGCAAGTTCTTCTGAGATTTTTAATTGCTTCAAAACTAGAATTAGTATTTTAGTAGTAGTAACAAGATTAACAAATTAATATATTTATATATATATTTGTAATAGAAACTAGAAAATTTTACAAATAAAATTTATTTATTACCCGGAAATTTCCAGTACTTTAATTAGTATTTCAATTAATAATTCATTAGGTAATTTATTAATAATACCATTATTATTATTGATCTTGAGGATTTTTAAAGCTTGTGAGAGAAAGTTAAAGAAAGTTAGGGAAAAAGAGAAGGAAAATATCATTATTGCAATAAGTAACAAATTAATAATTAATAATTCCAGAATAATTTCATAAAGTATTCGGCTTAAAATAAAGAATAAATTTTTTTTTGATCTTTTTTTTTTTTTTTTTTTTTTTTTTTTTGATCTTGATTTTTACTATTATTTGAAATATTTACCAATTGCAAATAAAGTAATAAAAAAATTATTCCAAATTCCACCAATATCAATTCTTTATATATTGAAATCGTTAAGAATTTGGAATTTAGTAAGTAAATTTTTATCAATAATAATAATAATAATTCCTTTTGAACAAATCATTACTTTGAACGTCCAGAAATTAAGGAAAATATCATTTTTTTTTGTTATTGAATGAACCAAAGAACAACGGAATGTATCTTCTTTTTTTTTTTATAGAAAGGAAGAAACTTTTAAAAGTATAAATATTTATTAATATAGGTTTTTTTGGTCACACAACTGGATATTTAATTTTCAGTGGAAAAAAAATAATAATTATACCCGAATTCTAAGGAGTATAATTGAAATTTTCTTCTTTCTTTTTTTTCTTCGTCTTCACATTTTCCTTTGTACCTGTCTTTTCTTTTTTGTAATTAAAAAAAAAGAGAACTGATGATAAAATTCAAAAAAAAAAATTTTTTATTCATGTAAACAAATATCATTATCGTAAAAAAAATTCATTTCACGTTTAGTTTACTCGGTATAAATTATTTACAATTGTATAATGAAAAATGATATGCGTTTCTGGCTGACATATGACATTCTGATTTACATCTTATGATTTTCTTTAAATTTTGTCTATCAATTGTCTCATTTGTTTTAAGCAGATTGAAAACATCCAATGATATGATATCTGAACAAGAACCATTTGAAGTAACTGAATATCGGCACGACATTAAAAGAGACTCACTAATGATAGACAAAGAAATTGCAGAAAAAAGCAAAAGGTCAATAACACAGTACCTATTATTGTAAATAATGCTAATATTTAAATTAATCAATGAAATGATGCAATAAAATAGTGCGACATGAATGGATTAAGCATGTATCTATTGTAGCACAAAATTTTGGGAAGAAATTCAATGTAACAAATACCATCTGTAAGAGTCCTGACTCTTACTGGTGTCATTTATTATTATGAGCTTTACAGCTCTATTTTCAAAGGTCAAGGAAATTCATCATTAATTTTAATTGAGCAGAAGCTGCCCTTCTTTATTAGAATACATTTGTTTATTACAGAATAAATAATAATACTTAATATTAGCATATGATAATGAAATATAATAATTTAAATAATAGTCTTAAAGTCCAATCCAGATGGTGCAAATGCATATAATTAATATAAACAAATAATAATAAAATAGAAATAAAATATAAATGATTATCATCATCCTTCTCACTTGGGTTATTAATTGCAGACTATTATTAATCAAATAAATGCAATTCAAATATAGTATTATTTAATAACAAGGTCCAGATTGATTAAACAAACATATGTTGAATAATCAAAATTGACTAAATTTAAAGCTCTCAACATTTTGGTTCGGTTCAGTTTGAAACCAAGAACTGATCACTCAAACCAAAACCAAACCAAAACTGAATCAGATTAAACCGAACCGAACTGGTTATTTTTGGTTTAAATATGATCACCTCTGGTGAGGCAAAAATTTACACGAGTTTTTTTATGTTTTTTCAATTTCGCTCACGATTTACTACATCAGAAAATTTTTTCTAGTGAAAACCTTCAAAAGTTAATGTTAACGTAAGTATTTCACTGTTTTTCGATATGTTATCTTTCAAAGGTCTTCGCTAACCTTCGAAAGTTATCGATTTTGATATTTTCACGTGGCAAAATTTTGTGAATATTATTGTTTTCATAGTAAATTCATATTGATAACCTTTGAAGATTATCGATTTTGATATTTTCATGTGTGAAATTTTATGAATATTATCGTTTTCGTAGTAAATTCGTATCGATAACCTTCGAAGGTTATCGATTTTGATATCTTC